TGGTGGGATATTCTGTACTGGGGGGAAGAGATGAAGTTGTGGAGAGATGTTGTTGGAGGCAACATGTTTTCTTATTTCAGACATTTATGGATTCTTACTGCCTGGTTGTCAAATAACTATTTGGCCTATGGAATGTTATCTTGGAGTATCAAGAAAAGCAAGTATTTACAACAAGATGTGTGTAACAAAAGGCTGCATAGCAAAATCCTTGTCCTGGGAGTTCATACATACCCCCTAGCGGTGGGGCATGGAGATAGGAGAGCTTCAGCCCAGATTCCCTGGTGACACAAAGATTAAAAGGACAGATTACATGGCTTCTAGCCAGAAGGAAGAAGTCAGATGTGATTGACCTGGGTCTGAGCATTGTTGGCAATATAGCAGTGCCCCCTGACAAACTTCCGAGAGGATGGCTGGGGTAATACTATACTTCCTAATGAATAAGGAGGACAGCCCCTTGTGAGTTATGGACTGTCGCTCATTGGATGGAGGACTACACCAGGCGGGTCAAGGGTGTGTGTGTGTGTGTGGGTGGTTTGAGAGTGCTTTTAAACACAGTTTTGGCCATGTTTCTGCCTCTCTCTCTTTGACCATTTTTCCTACTTGGGATCCAGCTTTAAGATACTTAGCTTTGAGGACAAACTTAAATAATGTATCATATTTACTATTATTCCCATATACTCTGTAATATTGGTTTAGATTTCTCTGTTAGTGTTTTGCTTCCCTTGTAAATAAATAAGACCTTGCTTCTTTGAGCAGTGTGTTATTATGGGTAATATTGCAGTATATTACATCCTTTAATATTGTCAAAGCTTATAGATCCACTAATTAATTATAGGAACAAAGTACATAATTGTATAATAAATATGGGGATTCCAGAAAACCACCCCCTTAGTATTTATTTTAGATGTGCTATAATGGGGGTGATGTGGCCTGTTATGGCGTGTTTTGTGATGGGGGGGGTGAGGTCGATGGGGAGGGATGAGTGGATATTGCGCTTAGAAAATGGCTTCTCTTTCTCTGCAAATATACATAACATCATTAGTTTTTCAATAGTTACACAATCCTAACTTTAGGAAACATCTTTCTAAAAGCAAGAAACTAAGGGTTCCCACTTTGCATAGAAAGTGATCATTTTCCTGGAGCACATGCAAATATGCACGCTCAGTTTCCAATAGCCAATAGTACCAGAGCCAATGACCTGGGTTCAAGTATGTAGTGTAGTCACAACTTATGTGCATACATGTTCCAGGTCAGTACATACATGGAAAATGCTGAAACTGTTGGATCAGCAAGACAACTAGCATTTTCAAAAAGAAGGGTCAACAATGTCAGCTTCCACATTTCTCTAAGCACAGGTTTTCTTTAAACAGAAAAGAAAAAAAATTACTGTATAAAACTTACTGTATAATGGAAAATATAGCTGAGCTGCTTGTTAAAGATTAATGATTAAATGTCCTAAAAAGAAATCACATCACTAAAGCCATTAATATTTCCCCAGAACATTATGGAAATATTCTGTGACCGCATATGTGAATAATTGCTATTTAGAAGTAGTGCTGTCATTCTTTATATTTGATAGGCAGTAATAGGCTCTATGCTATTGCTTGTTCTGTGTGCACCTTTCTTCATTATGTCAGAACGGGTCCGTTTTATGTCCAGTGTAACTGGCTGCAACACAAGGCAATGTGTTATGTCTCACGGCAGCTATAAACATGAAACAAACAAGAAACCACAGACTTCATTCAATTAATATATAATATTTCTGTCATAAAAGCACAGGAGGCAGACACCTACTGAAGCTCTATAATTGGCTTTATGCTGGAAAAAACTCTCAAGGAAACTTAATAACTGTAGCAAGATACACCAAATACCAATGGTCGTGTAACGTATGGTGAAAAACATATACATTTACCATTCTAAAAAATGGAATCAAAGAGCTTGTAAAAGGCTGTTCTTTAAAGCTGAACACCATATAAATATTGTATAGAAAAATGTCACCTTGGCTCATGTGTACTAATGATCCAGTTCTCTGCTTTGAATTAAAAAATCTATGTTTGTATTCATGGGCAGAAAGCACAGCTTTGGTTGTACTTCTGGTGTACTGCGAGTATTAGAGCTGTGGTTGGCTTTCCATAAACTTTAAAAAACATACATGTCAAGACCTTTAATTGCCTCATGAGTTTTTCTTTGGATAAATGATGAATCCTGTCCTGTACTCAAACAGGGATACCTCTGCTAGTTGGTGACAGATTATATAGCAAAATGACATTAGTCAATAAAATTGTGACTAATTATATACAGTGGCAATACTCAGTATAACAGACGTATAGAATGACATATACACAACAGTGACTTTACCTGTGGTTATAAACCTTTACAAATACCCAAATGAAGCGACTAGGCTCAGATGATACACAGAGGTGAAAAAAATCCTCCTACATTGATTGTACCTGTTTTTTTGCAGCCCTCTCTCCTCTACAGCCTTTTAAAGCACATCTTTTATACAGCATTTCTGAGCTCCAGAAGGTAGGGGCGGGGGTCTGATGTCAGGCATTGCACAGCATAAAGCACGGAGTGTAGTTTGAGACCTGAGTGAAGGGAATGGACACCCTCTCTACACATTTTCCTAGGGAAACTGGGAGTCTGCCAATCATCTGCTGTGTGCAGGAGGGGGCCGTCCTGGGGATTCTAGAGTTTCAGCATAACTTGCCACAAAAGATTCATGCAGATATCAGAAGGAAGAGACAGCAAATATGAAGCACACCAGGTGCTTTGTATTTAAAACATTTTCAGCAACTTCAGTAAATGAGTTGGTGGTAGATTTTGTGTAATGCCATGGAGCAGGCAGACTGGGGATCAGTGCACAGCCAGATGATAAAATGGGAAAAAGGGAAGACAAAGGTGGGAGAAGTTGCCAAGGATGCAGCCATAGATGAGAGTGGAGCTGTAACAAACTAATCTCACCAGTAGGGACAGACCTAAAAGACAGTGATGTGTAGAGTATGGACAGATTACCTGCACATAAGCTAGAGCAAAGACTTTGAGAGGACCAATTTGAGACCAAATGGACCCATGGGCTGCAGTCACTCAGAGGCCCCCTATGCTGCAATACCATAATGTTAGCACACCCATATGGAAGAAAAATGTATTTGAAATATATTTTTTAAATATTCTTCCAAAATATATTGACATATATTTGAAATGCTACAATCTTGGCCATATTCAATATATACATACATACATACATACATATACACACACACACTGCATGTTGAAATGCATTTTTATTACAAAATATATGAAAAATGTTTTTAAAAATACATTTCTAATATACTGTATGTCTTTAAAAATACAAATCTACATTTTTGGAATGCATTTACAAATATATGTAAACATATATGTTAAAATGACTTTTTTATGTTAAAAAAAATCTGAAGAATATAATAAAAAATTATATATTTTTTTATATATATACACTGCATGTTGAAATGTGTTTTATATATATTGCAAAATATATAAAAATATTTTTTAAAATATATAATTTTTTAAAATATATTCTTCAGATTTATTTTAACATATATAAAAAAAATAATTTCAACATATATTTTACATATATTTGTAAATGCATTCCAACAATGTAGATTTTATTTTTAAAGGCATACAGTATATTTGAATTGTATTTATAAAAATATTTTTTTATATATATTTTGTAATAAAACGCATTTCAACATGCAGTATATATATATATATATATATATATATATATAATTATTTATTGAAATATATTGAATATGGCCAGAATTGTAGCATTTCAAAATATATGTCAATATATTTGGGAAGAATATTTTTAAAATATATTTCAAATATATTTTTCTTCCATGTCGGACAGCACCACTTCCTGTGCAATTTCACAACCAAAATTAGGCCCAAGTTATTCTTAAAGTACATCTAAACCCAAAATGTCATTTACTGCAGCTTACCAGTCCTAAAATGTGGTGGCTGCATTCATTCGGTTCTTAATTCAGGCCTTTTTCCCTTTAGTTTCACCTGGTAATCCTGTACCTTCATGTATACATTTTTTTTTCTCTAATGCATCTATGAGGGCAGCGGTCATCACACAGGTTGGATTTGAAACATGACTTTTTTTTTTTGTTACTTGGTGGATTGCTGGGACTAGAACTAAATCCCCTTGTGATGCTGACACTGTTGAGTGAACCATGTCTGTGTACGCACAGATGGACATTGCTCAATAAACAGTGTGTGTGGATGTAGGGTGAGATGGGCAGGGTAAGGAGAATATCTGTCAAGCAGGCATGGACACCAGAGATTGATGAATGTCTTTGAAGGAGTGTGCAGCTAAAACCATTACTGTCAGCAGAATGAGAATGTTCCTATACTAAGTAAGAAAAAGGAAAAAAGAATACATATACATATATATATATATATATATATATATATATACACACAGTATATATACATACATAAACACACACACACTGGGTTTAGGACAAATGCCTACAATAGACTCTTCAGGTGGGTCAGAGCTGTGCAGGACTGCCACCTCCAGAAAAAAAAATCATTTATCTGCTATAGCTGTTTGTTTTTTTCAACATCCCCTACAGGTTCCGGTTATCAAAAGGACTAAACAATTAATACAAGATGAAAAATAGAAGGCCTTAAAAAAATTTAAACTATAGAAATATTGAATATAGAAAGATATTATATATATGAAATATGGTGTAATAGAATTATTTATTTTTACAAGTATGGTTTGCTGGATGTGTGTTTCCTTGTCTATATTGTTTCCGATAAAAGTAATACATACCATAGAAAATAGTTTGGAATCATGTCTGTTGTGGCAAGACAGTAGAATAATAACATGGTCATATATGCTACATAATTATGTCATAAGAAGAGGAAGCAAATGGATCTCAAATAATGAGAAGCAAAACTGATCTCATTGATGTTAAAGTGTTACTAAACCCAGGACCCTGCATTCACTATATCTGGTCTCCTACAGTACACACAACATGGAAATGCAATTATTTTAGTAATTATAAACTGCTAAATACCTTTTCTCATCAGCAGTTAGAGCAGTCTTGTGAGTTCAGCAAAGCACTGGTTAAAGCTTGTAGGAGTTTTATTTCTGCTCTAGGAGGATGTAAAACCCCCAACCTCTGTTTGGACTGTGCTGATTGGCCCTGTGCTGATCACATGCACTCTCCCAACAAAAAATAAATCCTCTCTAGCAATACACACTAAACTGAGCATGTGCAGAAGGGCTACTGGTTCAATCTGTCTTATCAGCGTGGACATTTGAAGAAGAAGAGGGGCAGAGAAGACAGGATCAAACAGCCTTTTTACATAATGCAGAGGATTAACCCCTTTGGTTCCACAGTGACTATAACAAGCATGCTATACTGCATATACAGACTGAGTTTACTGTTGTGGGTTTAGCTTCTTTTAAACTAAATACCTTTATTTCTATATGACCCTGGTGTATTGCTACCATGGCTATGGTTTGAATTATCTCCACATAATTTGCATAAAATGCATAATTCTATCTGTCTTGACACCTAATCTATCTATCTGTCATATCTATCTATCTATCTATCTATCTATTATTATTATTATTACTACGAGTTTATATAGCGCCAAAGGGTTTGCTCAGCGCTGTACAATAGGGGGGACAATACATGGCACAGTACAACAACAACAAACAACGTACGAGGGGTAAGAGGGCCCTACTCTTACGAGCTTACAATCTATCTATCTATCTATCTATCTATCTATCTATCTATTCTCTGTGATTTGCTTTATTGCTTCAAACGAAAAAAAGAAAAAGACATAAGAGCGATTCAGTCAAGATCCACAAACCTATAAAGAGAGGTCTATTGTAGCAGAGATCATTTTGGTGCCTCTTTTTATGACAATTGGCTGGAATATATGGTGAAAGTTTTTTCACCTATGGCACTAACACTAAGGCTCAGTTCACACTAGCTTTGTCAGCAGGTGTCAGAGAGGCATTTGGGAAGCATTTTTAACGCTTCTCAAATGCCTATGAAAATTCTGCACATGGCAGCACACAGTGCTGTTCACACTGAAGCGTTAGCGTTGTGTCTCAGCAAAACTGAGGCCTCGTGTCGAGTCAGGAGGAGTTGAAGACTCCCATTCAAGTCTATGGTGGCACTCCGCAATGCCTGGCAGGTGTTTGCGGTGCGGTTGCGAGGCGGTTGCGGAGCGTTAATACCATTTAACTTCATTATAGGCGTTTGTGGTGCAGTTTTAACGCTTGGCAAAAGTCTACCACCCCCTCAAAACCACACATAGGGTGCGTTTGGGGAGTGTTTGAGGAGCATTAAAAACACTTCCCAAGTTCCTGTCTAACGCCTGTCAAACGCTATATGAGTGTCTGGCAAGAGTTATGCAGGCCATAGATGGGTCGTTAATCATCTGATTTTTCGGCTCGTTAGTGGATTAGTTAGTTGGCCGTTTTTCGTGTATTTTGCACTTTCAGATTATCGGTTATGTTGGGAAATTTGCGGCCTATTTGGACGATCCGCAATGATGGCCAAATTGGACGATCGTTTTTAACAATAAAAAATCTGCGCATAAGCTGTGACCTGAAAGGGACAGAAGTTATGGGGTGAACTTTATGATTTAGTCGGACGATTTTTTTTATTCGTTGGTGGTAACGTCGGCCAAAAGACCGATTTTTTGTTTAACATTCGAAAAATTGGTCGATGTTCGACCTGTCTATGGCCTGCATTAGAAATAAAGTCAAGTGTGGACGAGCCCTAAACTTTGGCCCAATTCTGCAGAGTGGATATAACAATTGTTAAGTATTAATTATATAGTAAATAGCTAAAAAGGCACAGGTATTGATTCTGTACAGGTGTTCATCAGGTGTAAAGAACACTGAACTGCTCACACTTGATGACATAAATTGTTGACCTGAGATAACTGCTTGCCTGTTCAGAGATGTCATTTATATAGAACAATGACATAAAGGATATATTTGGCTGTACTGACAATAGCAGACAAAAGAAAAGGTTCAGTTTACCCATTGTTTCCAAACCATCTGCCAGGACATTTGTCTATTTTGCTTTCAGGGAAATGTCCTTAATGATAACTGAGCAGCACTGACTCATTCACTCAGATCCACCTAATAAGCCTTCAGAATACTATATACAAGATAGGGATAATAAAACCACAGCTGTGAAATATTTACCTTACAAACTCAACTATTAAAAAACATGTACATATTTACCTAGTGAGGCAATTTGGTTTATTTAATGATGAACAAAAACCAATGGCTTATACAGACTAATCATAATTATTCCTTAAAAGATCTGACTACAGTAAAATAAATTACTCTGGATGGTGTGGACAACTACACTTTGTGCACAACCTCAGCATGGCTTTAATGAAGCTGCGCAAACTGCTGGAGCTATATAAATCTTATATTATAATAATAATGATGATGAATAAGTCTGTTGCTTTTAGGGCTTTAGGCAGCTCTGGAGTCACAAAACCTCAAGAAAAATTTTGACAGCTATCTCCTACAGCTGTTACTTTTGTCTGGTACAGATCCACTTTAAGGCCTTGTGCACACAAACATTTTATACTGTATGCCTAGGAAAATTCTGGCGCTTTTCCTGCGTCTGTCAAGTGAATGGCTGTATGAGGCCTTAGTTGGTTAAAAACAAAAGCTTCCGTGAAACCTTTGCGTTTAGGAAAAATGTCGTACGTACATGCACAGAAGCGTCAGCATTCATACAACTACGACTGCTGACAGTCATTCAGTTGTATTTCCCGGAGTGGGACAATACCGGGAATTTTCTGCTATCATATAAATGCATGCAAATGTCTGTGTGCATGAGGTCTAAAGCTGAACTCTGGGCACAAAAACGTTCACAAAAATATACACTATTCCTTGTTAGCCACATTGGATATCAATCTACTTTCTTACACATGTGGCTTGTGCAGATCAGAGCTGTGGGAGTAGCAAACAGCTCCACCCACTACAGGCTGCCTGCAGATAACTACAGCTGTGGGCGGAGACAAGACCAGTCACCCTGGGTAAGTACAGAGAACAGCAGTGACCGGTCTTTATTAGGCTCCATGTACACGGTACGTTTGGAGAACTCTTCTGAAAGCTGGAAATTGACAGCAGGAAATCGCAGGTTAAAAAACATCAGTTTTGCCACATTTGCATACCGTGTTTATGCGCGTTCAGCCGCATTTATGAGCGTTTGCGTTCAGAAGCATTTTTTAAAGATAAGCACAGGAGAACCTCCCAAATGCACAGAATGCACTGGAAAATGGTAAATTATTAACTATTTCAGACTGTTTGAGAGAAATAGAGAGAGTAGAAGCAGAGATAGCAGTGTTTGTTGAGATTAGCTGCATACATAGTTACATAGTTAGTCTGGCTAAAAAAAAGACAAAAGTCCATCCAGTTCAACCATAGAAAAAAAAGAAAAGTTATAATCCTATACCCACAGTTGATCCAGAGGAATGCAAAAACCCCCCAGCAAAGTATGATCCAATTTCCTCCTGCTGGGAGGAAAAAAATTCCTTCCTGATCCCCCAAGAGGCAATCGGATATTCCCTGGATCAACTAGCTGTCTTTTTTTTTTTTTTGTGGTGTTTGGATGTGTTCCAGCTCATTTCTGTGCAGAAATTATTGCAGCAGTATCTAACATATTTTCTTTCATGCAAAACCTCAAAGTATGGTGTACCAGGTCCATTTGAGTACTGGGAAAATGCTTTGCATGCATTTTTCATGATGAAAAAAAGGCTCTGGACAGCATCTGGAAATGGAAGAGTTAAAACAAATTTCCAAATGCAAATAAACGCGATTAGCCACATTTACAAGCATTTGGCATTTGAAATGCTGATAAAATCTACTCCTGAACGCAAGTTTGGTGCGTTCAAAAAAAGACTGTAAACTCAACTGCATGTAAACAACTGTAAATGACATAGTGTACATGGACACATAGGAAAACATTAGGGAGGGTTCAGGGGCTGCTGAAAAAAAAATACGCAGAAAAGCTCCTGAATGTGAGTTTATCAGCTGCAGTGTACATGGAGCCTTATGGGATGCTCCTGCACAGAGACACAATTTCCCACTAGATTACTGCACAGATGTGGAAGAAATACACAAAGTACACCAAGACTCAAAAAAGAATACACATGCTTCTTGTATTTTGACAATGTTTGCTTATGCTAGACCTTTGCTTATGCTAGATTTGCTTCCTCTTTAAATATCCACTAGAAAACATGACAATAAGAACTTAGTACCTGTGTTTTTAGCTCCATCAACCAGCCACATTCATTATGTGTGGTTAATTTCCACCACTGAATGCTCTAATTATTCAATTACTTAACGTTATTTCAAGAGAAATAGTCTTTTCAAATGTTCTAGCACACTGGGAAGTAAGCAGAGTGAAGCACATTTGATAGTAGTGATCTCATCAATGGAGTGCACAAAAGACAAATGAAACCAATGGTAACTCAGCTCACTGGCATTCACCATAAACGATGTAGCAATGCTCTCAACATACCTGTAAACCATTGCGGTAATGCAAACAGTAGTCAAATGTATTTAACTAGTTGCAGACTTTTGGCGTGCTACACATGCCCATAAAAAGGTCATCATTGTACATAGGGCGTGTGAAGCATTTCCAGTCTTTCTGCCATGCTTCCCCCTCACAGGATACAGCAGTTCAGCTCTGATTAAGCAAAGCCATATTGTTGTGTACACAGTGAAGGTCAGCAGCTTTAGATGTAAGAAAAGAAGCAGTCTGACAGTGTTTATAAATGACACTAGCTCAGACACTACAGAAAGATACAATGTTACATACTGTAACATTTGTATAATTCTGTTTATTCATTTGCAGATCAAAGGGATAAACTTCAATCTTCAGATGAGGTCAGTTAAGAGCCGATTCACACATGTGCAGTGTGGGTTGAAGCTCAGGCTTCACAGCTAATTGATACAGTACTTGT